CAGAGATACTCACAAACTGAAAAGAAACTTTCTTAAGCTATAATTACTTAAGATTACTTATTGAATTACAATCTATAAAAGCTTTTATAAGTTTGTATTTGAAATTAACTCATAAGTCTGACTGTGTGATATAAAAGATGAAGAAGCTGTTATCTATGTAATAACAGACCTCTATTACACTACTGAAGCTAAGAACTGGCTGAATTATCTAGAGAATGATTATAAGAGATTCTACTGATCTGTTCTCAAGATCTATTTAGAGAATAAGTTAAGAGACTCTGTGAGCTGAACAGAGAACATCTGAGTTATAATTATCAATATTAGAAAAAGAGATGAGAAATCTGATAAAGACTACTCACAGCATTTTATAAAATTATGATGTGAATTAAGATCTGTGAAAACAGGGCTCTGAAATAAGATCTGAATAATGATATTTATAAAGAGACTGAATAAAGATATATAGAACAAGCTTATTAAGTAAGATTCTAAGTTCTTAACTCTGAAGAAACTGATAACTCTCATTCATTACTTACAGATCACTGTGAGAGTCATAGATCTATGAAGAGTAGATCACTGATTAACTCTGTAAGAATCAGAATAACAGAGAACAGATTTATCAGAAAAAGATAACAAGATATAGAGAGATTCATATCTGACTGCTGAGTAGAGAGAGAGAGCTTTATAAGCTTCTGTAAATAGAGTGTATAACAGAAAGATTAAGAAAAAGAGACTCTGCTTTATCTGTTTTAAATTAGAACATCTCTGTGCAAACTGTTCAGATAAATCAAAATAGAAATTTAAGAAGTCACAGACAGAGTCAGTAACAGCCTTCTTAAGAGTCTTGAAGCTGATATCTGAATCTGTTACTCTTTCAATGAAAATACTTACTTACAGAGAGAGACTGCACTGCAGTACTACTGTCTCATAAGTATGAAAAGTATTAATGAACTTAGAATCTCAGGTCACTGTAGTGTCTCTAAAGCTTGTAAAGTGAATGAGTTAAATAATGAAAACTGAGAACCTGCTCTTGTAATAAGCAGAATATGAGAACTCAGATCTGAGAACTGAGAAACTCATAAGAGTCATCTTTGAATTGCAAGATCTCTCTGAAATCTGAAGAAGATTTACAGAAACTGTGATTATTATGAACATCACAGATAACATGTACTTAAGACTTATATAACTTTAAAGATATAATCTGCACATAGCTGTCTGTAAGTCAGGTTTATACTTCTAATCAGTGTTAACAGACTTACTCACAGAGATAGAATCAGTTGATACTGCAGAGTTAATTAGAGAAGACAAGCTCATCTATATAATGACTTTACAAGTGTCTGAGAATCTTGCAGTCATGAAAACTAAGCTTCAGATATCAGAGAAATATCAAGATCTTACAGAGATATTTCACTCAGTAAAGGCAGCTGAGCTTTCTTCTCACTATGAGAAGAATCTGATAATAGATTTAATAGAAGAGCAGAAACTCTTCTGAAGACTAATCTATAAGCTCTCTCATTATAAAACAGAGATCTTACAGGCCTATGTGAAGAAGAATCTGAAGAATGACTTTATCTAATCTTCACAGATCTTTATAAAAGCCTCTGTGATATTTATAAAGAAGAAGAATAAAGATCTCAGATTGTATGTAGACTATTATAATCTGAACTTCAAGATAATAAAGAGCTGCTATTCTCTGTCTCTGATTGAGAATGTAATCAACTGTCTTACAGAAGCTGTCATATTCACATAACTGAATGTAATCAATGTATATACATGACTATAAATACAGTCTGAGAATAAATAAAAGACTGTCTTTAGAACTGCACTGAAATTATTTAAATATCTAGTGATGTCTTTTGATCTGATTAATATCTCTGCAGTATTTCAGTCTTTTATTAATAAAACACTTTATATATATCTGAATGTCTTTGTGATAATATATCTGAATGATGTGATAATATACTTTATAAAGAAGAAAGAACACACTGAGTATATACAAAGTATGTTAAAGATCTTAGATGAGACAGAACTGTATATTAAGCTTATAAAATGTAACTTCAGTATCTGCTGAATTAATTTTCAAGAATATATAATTATCACAGATGATATTCAGATAGAATCTTTGTAGATTGAGACTATTCTATTATAATCAGAGTTAACTAGTATTTATAAGATTCAGATCTTTCTGAGCTTTGTGAATTTCTATAGATAATTTATCTTTGTATTTATAAGAATCTTCTTAGCTCTTACAGACATGCTGAAGAGTGAAAACAAGAAGAAGTTATTCTATAAATGAAGAATGAAAAGATTGTTGAGAAGAGAGAATTGTAAGAACTTTCTTATCTTAGAAGCTTACAGAGTCTTTACAAGATTGAAATAGATATTTATAGATACAGTAATACTGTTTCACTTTAATCTCTTACTCTTAATCAGATTAAAGACAGATATCTTCTTCTTTATAATTTCAGAAATAATCTTATAACTACAGCTGAATGAGAACTGAGTTTCAGTGATCTTTTTCTCACAGAAGATGCAATCTGCAGAGATCAACTATAATATTTATAATTAGAAGCTTCTTATAATAGTGAAATCCTTCTATCACTGATATTACTACTTTGAGAGCCTTGTAACAGGAATTACTGTTAGAACTGATTATAACAGCTTATAACAGTTTGCTTTAATTAAGAAACTCTTATAACAGCAGGTTCACTGAGCTCAGAGACTGAGTGAGTTCTGATTCAAGATAGAATATATCAAGAGAACTAAGAACTCAGTGAACAGACTCTCTCACAGACCAGACTATATTAAGAAGATCAGAATAACAGACACAGAGAGACTAGAGAAGATAGAAAAGCTTCACAGAATACTCAGATTAAGTGTTATAAAGAAATTGACTGAAGAGTCTCTTAATTCTCTGTGAGAGAAGAGAAAAGAGAAAGAGAAGAAGTCTGTACAACTACTCTCTATAACACTGAGAGTCAACACTCTGAGAATCTCTGTGAGAATTCTTGAAGAGAGTATCTATAATCTGAAGAGTTTATAAGCTTTGAGAAGCATCATGAAAGATCTGATGTAAGAAAAAACAGAGTATAAGTCTTTATAAGATCTTCTATTTAGATTGTCTGAACTGTAACTGAAGAATGAATATGCTTAGTATATTCAGAAACTGCTCACAGCAGAGATCAACTCTGTAGAAATAAAGAATTGAAGAGACTTAAATAATCTCTTATAAAGAGAGAACTAGATTTATATACCTGTAAATGAGTTTCTATACATAGAACTTATTAAAAGATATCATGACTCTTCTCTAGCAGATTATTTTACAGATACTAGAACTCATAAGTTACTCATAAGAAAATACTTCTAATCAAAGATACAAGAACTTGTGAAGAAGATAGTGAATTCTTATACTATTTATCAGAATTCACAGATAATGTAGTTCAGATTATATGAAGAACTTACTTCTCTACTCATTTCACAGAAACCTTGAGAACAGCTAGAAATGAATATTCTTATAAGTCTCTCTAAAAGTAAGAACATATATAATACCTGCTTTAACAGTGTGCTAATGATAGTGAATTACTTTATCAAGATAACACACTTTATACTCATCTGTAAGAACTTGAAGTCAAAGAATTTAACTCATATCTTCATTTATAATATGATTCAGTTGCATGAGTTATCTGTAAACATTATCTTAGATAGAGAATTAATCTTCACAGAAGAGTTCTGATCTGATCTGATAACTATACTGAAGATCTCATAAGATCTAAGTACAGCTTTTCATTAACAGACAGATAATCAGATAGAATATCTGATGAGTATATTAAAACAGTATCTGTGATGCTTTATTAATTACAATCAGAATGACTGAGTACATTAATTATCATTTACAGAGTTTATATATAACAACTTAAAACATATTAACACAAATAAAACCCTCTTTGAAATGCTCACTGAGACTTATCTGTGAATGATCTTGATGAACCTGTGAGAGTATACTATAGAGTATGATAATATCTATGAACAGACTGAGAGAATTCAGAAGATCTGAGAGAAAGCCTGTGAATTCTTGAGAAAGACTCAAGAGTATTAGAAGAGATACTATGACTTTAAGTATATTATAAAGAGTTTTAAGAAAGATGATAGAGTCTGACTGAGTCTAGAAAATATCATTATATAGAGATCTAGTAAGAAGCTGAATCTCTTACAGACAGAGTCTTACAAGATTATGAAGAAAGTTAGTTTACAGTTCTATAGATTGAAACTGTTATCTGAGTTGCAGATATACAATGTTTTTCATATCTCTTTACTTCATGAATATAAGAAATTCTTAGAAGAGAACTCTGTTGTGGTTCGGAAGAACGTACGACCGTCGGATAATAACGCGGCCGCTTCCGAACTACTAGCGTACGCGTACAAGTGTAAAGGGGCCATAGCGGCCGCTAATTAAATTAGCGTATGATATTACAATATATAAGAAGCCGGCATATGTCTGTAATTGTACACTGGCTTAAGCAACCTTTGAATCACATCTGATAGCATGTCTAAAAACTGATGAGAAGCACAGACTCCTTCAGAGTGTGATAATTCCATCTACAAAGCAATTCATAGTTATCATGCCAGTGTGATTCTAGAACACCTCAAAAGATAGTGTATAAAGAGCAGTGAGCAGAAGAGCATCTAATTGATACTGCTTCACTTGTTAAGGGAAAACTTCACACTCAGATAAATGTCACATATGAAAAGCAAACAGATGAGATGTGAGAAAGAGAATGAGAGTGATGAACCAGATTCAAAGAAGTTCACTCTCTACTCAAAAGAAGGATAAAAGAAGAAGTGGCTATCACCAGAGTCATACAATGATAACAGAAATCATATAATAATATAGTGATAGAGTAATATAATGATAGATATTGTACAATCAATTAGAAACCACTGAAATGAATACCTTCTCTAACTGATATGAACAACATTCTTCTCTGCTACCTGAACTGAAAGATATGCAGAACCTCTCAGAGAGTTTACTCAAAACAGTAAGAAAAGCAGTCAAGATCACTGAACTAGAATCAAAGCTCTGTACATGTACAAGAATTCTAAACAAGATCAAGACCTTGCATACACAGTGACAGACTGAGATGAAAGCTAAACAACAATTAGCATTTGCTGCAGATCAAGCATTCACTATGAAGAGCTTCATCAATATAATTATCATCATTAATAAGAATAGAGAAAACCAGATCTTAGGCCTGCAGCAGAAGATTGAATGTTTACACAGACAGACAACTACACTGAACCTGAAGATCTCATCACAATTATTCACAATCTCTTCAGAAGTATACACATCATCAGAGATCACTGCACAGAATGAGAATTCAAGCATGAAATACATCAAGTCAGAAGATCTGTCAGAGTCACTAAGCTTTAATAGTGACTGAAAAAATGATGCTGTAATCAGCTGACTAAGTCAGATACAATCATATTATCAGATTGAATGTAAACTCACAGACAGACAGTTAACAGAATTTTAACAAGTCTTAAAATCTGCTACATTTCTACATAGAAAAGCAAAGTCATTATAAATAACTGATAAAAAGATAAATCTCACAGACTCAGAGTAATATTCATTTCTATAAACATGAAATGAGTTTTTCAAATGAATCTTATATAACTTTGAGAAAGTGAATATATAAGATAAGTATTATAAACACTTCACTGAGTGTAGACAAGTGAGTGATCTTATATTATACTTCATATACTTCAGCTTACACTATCTCATATTGAATGAAGAGCTCTCAACATCTTTCTATTTACAGATCTTCATTCATGATCTTACATCTGAGTTGAGAGTGAAATGAAAATGCTTAATCTCACAGTCAGACATAGTGAAGAAAGTATATAATATTCTCATTGTATGAGAACAAGTGAGTCAATTGTGACAGAAAATACTGTAATTGAGTATGTCTCAGCAGAGAATGAGTAATCAGACTTCTATAATACAAGCTATATACTCAGACACAATGAATCTAGATCTGAATGTCATTACTAAAGCATCAAATTCTCTGAAAAAGAGATTCTCTGAGTGAAAATCTTGATATTATAAGCATTGAGCTTGCTTTAACTGTAGATGTCAAAATCATGATATAAAAGATTACACTCAGCATGCATAGTCAAGAGAAGCAAGAAAGTCAAAAAACTAGCAGAATCAGTGAGCTTGAAGACACTCACTGATATTCTATGAAAAGTCTTCAAAGTTAAAAAGATGTCTGTGTTAGATGATTCTCTGAATTCTGTGAATATAAAGAAGAAGCAGACTTCTGAATAAGATACAGATAAGAATGAAGTGAACACTCATCTTAATGTCTTAAGATCTGAAATGTTAATGTATAGAGAACACTTAGATAAGAATTGAGAGATAGCTGCAAAAGTGTTAACAGACACAGAAGCTTTTATACAATATATTGATAATTATATAATCTGAAGATTGAAAGAGGTCTGCTGAGTGAAGAATTCCTGATATATAAGATTATTTAATAACTGATATTTGATATTACCTGTAAAAGTAAGAGTTTTCTTGCACTTCAGAGAATAATCTTGCTATATTTGAGTGTGAGAGCTGCAGAACATGAAATACAACCTTATTCTCAGACTCAATTGATTTCAAAGATTCAATCTGCAGATTCAATGATGTATATGCTATATACAGTTGATCAATAGAAAGAAAACAGTTCATATGATTCTATCAACTGATATGAGAAGGACATTTCACATCTCTGATATAGAAGGATTAAATCTGCTTACACATCAACAAGTAAAGAGAATGATTCACAAGATCTCATCTGAAAGCATTCTGTATGTCATACAGAACTCAGAAGTGAAGAAAACCAAGATAAAAGATATACAGAAGAACAAGTATATGAAGAAGCTTCTGAAGAAGCATGAGAAGATCTTCTGAACAGATCTTTCACTGAAATTGCTGCTGAAACAAGGATTCATATATGAGATTGACATGAGGGACACAAAACCAGTCAATCAGAATGTGTACTCTCTGTCACAAATGCATCTTGAAGAACAGAAGCATCAGATCACTGACCTTCTAGAACATGATCTCATACAATTCTCATCAAGCACATGAGGCTTTCCAGTTCTATTCATGAAAAAGACAGATAAGGAGTGATGAATATGTATCAATTATTAAGCACTCAACAAGCTTATGATCAAGAATGAATATTCACTGTCATGAATTCAACAACAGTTGAATACAGTCAGAAACACCTGATATCTATCAAAGATCAATCTTCTCTCAGAATACTGGCAGATTCATATAGATAAACTGTCAGTCTCATGAACTGTATTTAATATGCAATGAGAGAAGTTCGAATTCCTGACAATGTCATTCAGTCTGATAAATGCACTCATTATCTTCTAAATAATGATGAATACAATTCTTCATAAACAGAATGAAACCTCATATCTTGTATATCTCAATGACATTCTAGTCTTTTCAAACTCATATAATAAACATCTGAAGCATCTTGATGAAGTGCTTACAACTCTGACAGAGTATAAGCTCTACATCAAATCAATCAAGTGTGTGTTTGAAACAGAAGAGTTGAAGTTCATAGAACATGTAGTGAGTGATAACTGTATACATCTCATTCTGAAGAAATTGAATGTTATAGTAAATTAATCACAGCTGAGAAACATACATTATATACAACAGTTTCTTGAGTTGATCTCATACTATCACAGGTTTATCAAGGATTTCACACAAATATCTGCATCACTCTCAGATCTCTTGAGAGAAACAGATACAAATCTGTGAAAGAAGAAGTTTCATTCAATTATCTGAAATGCTGCATGTAAAGAGGCTTTTCTCACACTAAGAGAACATATAATAATATTCTCAGTGCTTATTCAATCAGATTATGATAAACCTTTCTATATTAAGACAGATACATCTGAATGAGCTATCAGAGACACTCTTCTACAGATAAGCAAGAACAGCAAGCTGCATCTGATGATGTATGATGGTAGAAAACTATCAGATATCAAGCTCAATTACTCAGTGCATGAAAAGAAATTGCTAGCAATCAAGCATATGCTGACATTGTGAAATAGATATATTAATAACAGGCATACAACAACAGTGATTACAGATCACAAAAGCCTCATCTATCTATAATTAATAACAAAACCTTTCAAATACTTAGTATGTTGAATCTCAGAGTTCTAAGCATACAATCTTCATATCAAATACTGAAAGGAATCAGACACTGTAGTACCTGACACAATCAGTCACAGACCCGATTTCATGAGTGAGGATTCTGTGAATCAGACACAAGAAATATTCATGTTAAACACACTGAGAGAATGCAAGGAATCAGAATGAGTGAACATCATAATCTCTCACTTAGAGAATAGCAAGATGTCAGATAACAAGTGTCTTGTGAGAGTAGTAGAAGAGATGCTTTTAAACTTCAAGCTGAGGAAATTGAGAAATGAAAATAATGTTGTGCTTTACTGCAATCTAGAATACACAGAAGCTCTCTATCTAGAATCTTCATTTAGATGTGACTTAGTGACTCACATGCACAAGGAATTCAGCCACTTAGAAAGCCCTGAACTCATAAGCATACTCAAATCAAGAGTATACTGACCAAGCATGGCTGAGGACATTCAGGCATACACTCACAAGTGTCTGAATTGTCAGGTCATGAAAGGATCTAAGAAAGGGTTAGAACATAAGAAAGTATAACATCAGGTGAAGTATACAATACAATCATTCAAACAATGAGAGATGAATCTCATAGACATATTATCACAAACATCAAATGAAAATTGATGAATAATCACTGCTATTGATTACACTACTGACTGATCAGTCATAAAAGCAGTTTCAGAGGCAATAGAGAAGGTGATGACAAAGTTTCTACATGATGAAATCTATATCAACTATGAAATGCCGCGCGAGATTCTAACTGATAATGATGTGAACCTTATAGAAGAAGTGATGAGGCATTTCATAAGCCAGTTACAGACAAGACATTATAGAACAACATCATATCATCTGTGAATGAACAGGAAGATGAAACACTTGAATGAAATCTTAGATAACATGCTGATGAAATATCTAGTGAGCAAGCCTACAAGACTATGAAATGAATATCTCAGGCAGGCACTATTGATCACACAGATTCAACAGCATGCAGTCTCCAAGCATTCATCATTCTACCTGTTGTATGGATTGCATTCATGCATCCCGGAGAATGCTTTGAAAAAGATGAGAGAGAGAACAGCAGTTGCAGATGCAACAGTCATGAATGCAGCAGAAACAGCAGTTACAGACACAGCAGTAGCAGTTGCAGACACAGCAGTTATAAATGTGAAATCAAGATTGAAAGAGATCAGCCATGCATGTGCAAAAGCTAACAAGTTACTCCTGAACTGAGCAATTCAATTGAAAAGAATACAAGACTCACTTGTTAAGAAATCATGTCTCAAGATGAGAATATAAGTTCTCATACACAATGAGAGTTCTGAGAAGTTCCAACCTAGGTGATTTGAGTCATATAAGATACTCAAATCACATTCTCTGAGAATGTATGCATTGAAAGAATCAGAGGAACAGATCTTACACAACTTAATTAATAATTCATAACTTATAAAAGTAAAGATACAAGATCTGAGCAGATTATGATTATCTACAGCACTATCATCAGTGTTGAAAAAGAAGAGACTTATAATTGAAAAGTCTCACAAAGTAAGAGAAATCATAGACACTTATAAATCAGATAATCTCACTTATTCTGATCTTTTCATGATTATAAGAAAAGAATGAGAAGAAATGAAGAAATCAGATGAACATCACACTTCAATAAGTGATGAGACTGTAGCTGATTGTATAATAACACACTGTAGACAGTGAGTGTAACATGATAAAGAGCAGTCTCAAAGCAGCAGACTTGTATATAAGTCAGATCACAGAAGAAAAAGAAATTCAGAGTTGAATTTAACTGTTTACACCAGTTCAATTACAGAGATCACAGAGGATGAACTATCTGAAACATTCATGAACATATGAGACCAAGCTATCTTGATCTCTGAAGATGCTCAGAGATCAGATGAGATTAGTTTTGATGAGCTGTTCACTGTAGTAGTCTGAGCAGGTGAAGAGAGACAGTATAATACACAAGACAGAATCACAAAAGATGAAAGCTGCTGAATCTAGTCACTGAATGCTATATCATATAGAGGTCATGTAAGAGTAGTGACTAGCAGATAAAGAAAAAGTATAAGAAAAGAAATAATAAATTGATCATTAACTGTAAGAGTCAGCTGTAAAAGACAAATGTTATCATATATATCTCATTCATTTTCATACATCACATGTTTAATCTATTTCCAATGTCACATCACCTGAAAAACATCAAAAACA